TTGTTTCAGTTGAGAAACTATCTCCATTTGCTGCTTGGAAGATTTGTCGATGATTTTTCCACCTATGATCAGGAAGAATAGCAGGATTGAGAATTGAGCATGCTGCACCAGTATCAAATAGTGTGACAACTATTATAGGCCTTTCATAATTTCCTGTAAAGAGTTTTACTTCAATCATTGGCACGGGAATGGATGAAAAGGCTGGATTAACAATTTGCATACCATAGCATTCTTCAGCATCATCAGATTCATTAGAGAGACTTTCATCAGAATCATATTCAAGAACAAAAATGGTTTCTTGTGTTTGTTCATCTTCTTCAGAGAATAGAGATTCTAGATCATTATCATCATAGTCAATCTTTATAGCTGTGAAAATCTGGTGAAGAATTTTCTTCTTCTTTTTGTTAGGACGTGCTTTTGCAAAGTGGCCTTTTTTTTCCACAAACCACTGAAAAATCTTTTCTTTTTCCGAAAAGGATTAAGAGGAGCTTCCTTGCGAGAAGATTTCATTCTCCTTTTATGGAATTTTTTCTTTCCTCTGCAATCACAATCTTTCATAGAACGACTGCATTTGATCTGCAAACAAGGTTTATCACAAGTTTTCTCCAATTTCTTTCCTGTGGCATTAATATCTTTAAGGAAAGCATTTTGATTGCAAAGCTTCTTCAATGTTCTCATGATCCAATTATGAAGTTCACCAAAAAATGTAGCATTGAGAAGTTGTCCTTTTAACTCCATCATTCTCAAAGTTTCTTGATCAAGAGGCTGATGAATAGATTCTAAATAAGCTTGTTTGATGTTGGTATCGTCCATTCCACCAATGAGATAGCATCTTTGAGCAGCATTTCTGAAGTGCTTTTCACGATCTTTAGGATTGTATGAGCAACATCTTAGTTTGAAAAATTCCTCTCTAGCAATTTATTTATCATGATCTGACTTTCCACAAAATTCCCAGTATAAGGAATTCATGAATGCATTTGTAGTGTTTGACTCCTTGGTAAACTGAAATCGTCTGTATTAACCCCTTTGGATCATACCAATCTCTGAGAAATCCTGTAATTCTTGCTAGAAAAGCTTTTATGACCTTTGCATGGGTTATATTTGGCTTTAGAAGTTCCGCAGTACACGAGACTTTCATTTCTTGTAGTCTGTATTTCCACTGCGAGGGAGGAATATCATCAAAAGTGAATTTTGATGAAGAATTGCCATTAGAATAATAATTGTTTCTCACATGAGCTTCAGACATATATTCATCAAATACTTTTGATTCATCAACAATTGGTTCAACTGGTGTTTGAGTTTGAGATTAGCCTATTTGTGATGGGTCAGCCACATAGAAAGGAGAATTTTCATTGTCAAACTCATCATATGAATTTTAAGATTCTGTTTAGAACTAATGTCATTTGTTATGGGTATGTTTGATAATATCCCATGCAATGATGAGATCTTTACAAAGCAAAGATGATCCTAATAACTTGTGATAAATACCAAGTTCAAGGAAGAACTGAATTGTAACAGGCTTGCTGACTATTTCTGTTGAAAAACTTTCTCCATTTGCAACTTGAAAAGTTTGCTGATAATTTTTCCACATATCATCAGGAAGAATAGCGGGATTAAGAATTGAACAGCATGCACCAGTATCAAATAGTGCTGGAACTGTTATGGTTCTTTCATATTTTCCTGTAAGAAGCTTAACTTCAGGCATGGGTACATGAATGGGTAAGAAGATAGGATTAACAACTTGCATACCATAACATTTGTCTGTATCAGCAATTTCATCAGAAAGACTTCCATCAGAATCATAGTCGAGAGTGAAGACAGTCTCTTGAGATTGTTCATCTTGCTTAGAAAAAAGAGACTCCAAATCATCATTTCCATAATCAATCTTAGTAGTTGTGAACATCTGATGGAGAATTTTGTCCTTTTTCTTATAAGGACATACTTTTGCAAAGTGGCATTTCTTTCCACAGATAAAACATCTATTTTCTTTCTTCTTTGAGAATTTTCTCCTGAAAAATCTTTTCTTTCTTCTGAAAGGATTAAGAGAAACTTCTCTGTGTGAAAACTTCATTCTTCTTTTTTGAAATTTCTTCTTTCCTGGACAATCACAATCTTTCATAGAGCGGCTACACTTAATTTGTAAATAAGGCTTTTCACAAGCGTTCTCCAATTTTCTCCCTGCAGCGTTGATGTATTTGAGGAAAGCATTTTGATTGCAAAGCTTCTTTAACGTCCTCATGATCCAATTATGGAGTTCACCGAAAGATGTAGCATTTAAAGGTTGTCCTTTCATTTCCATTGTTCTCAACGTTTCTTGACCAAGAGGTTGATGAATTGATTCCAGATAGGCTTGCTTGGTATTGGTATCATCCATGCTACCAATAAGATAATATCGTTGTGCAGCATTTCTGAAGTGTCTTTCAAGATCTTTTGGATTATATGAGCAACACTTTAGCTTGAAAAATTCTTCTCTATCAATCTCCTTGTCATGATCAGATTTTCCACAAAATTCCCAATATAAGGAATTTATGAAAGAATCTGTAGTATTTGACTCCTGGGTAAATTGTAACTGTCTGTATTCACCCATAGAATCATACCAGTCTCTAAGAAAACCGGTTATCCTTGCCAAGAAAGCATTAATGACCTTTGTATGAGTCATATTTGGATTTTGAAGTTCTGCTGTACACCAAGCTTTCATTTCTTGTAGTCTGTACCTCCACTATGATGGAGGAATATCATCAAAAGTGAACTTTGGTGAAAAAGTACTGTTTGAAGAATAATAATTATTAGTAACACAAGCTTTAGCCATATCATCATCAAGTACTTCTGGTTCATCAACAGTAGGATCATTTGGATGTTGAGTATGAGAATGTCCTGTTTGATCAGCCATATATAGAGGAGGATTATCATTTTAGACTCATCAGAAAGGTTTTTAGAAGTTTCAACATATTCAGAATCAGAACTGATTTCATCTGTTATAGAGTGGACAGGAGGAGAGTATGTGGCTTGATTATGAGTTTGTTGAAGAAAAATAGAGATAGTATTTTTTATCATCATTTGAGGCTGTTTTGAAGGGTCTTGTGATGAAAGTTCGTAAGAAGAAGATTATGTTTAACGGGTAGTAATAGGTGTGATCTTTTTTGAGGGCATGTATGGTTTTTTCTTTTGTTCCCACTCTTCGGGAGTGAAGAGAGAGGAGGTAGATCCTTCATAAGTGGAAGAGTATAAANAGGTTGCACTGATCCATCTGATCTTCTAGTGCTGAGATTTTTTATTTTCCATGAATGAATAGACTGGTTCATTTCAAAAGTTTCCAAAGAGGGAAACTCATCCTGAGTAGGTGGATGGAACATTGCCATGGGAAGAGAAGATATGGGTAGATTATTATCCCAATCCCATTTCTTATAGTATCTGCTGTAATCTTCATCTTCCCAACCAGTAGGAATGTTAGGATCATCATTTTTTTATGGTGGAGTGTATTTGACATAATAGTCAAACTTTCCAGAGGTTTCTCCAAACAATCCAACTTCCATATCATTTTTGTAGAAAGCTTCATGCAACTTTCTTTGACTCCTCCATTTTGCTTTTCTCCTTTGGCGAGACATATCATGATCAATATCTGCTGCTAGGCAACTAGAGCAATTGCAAAAATCCCAAAAGGTATGTCTAGTATTATCCCTTCTACTGTATACTGGTCTTCCTTTAACATCAAAAGCATAAATAGGAATTTCTTCTCTTGTATAAGCAAATTGAGCAGGAAAACATAGAGGCTTCTTTGGTACCACTTCCCTTTTGAAAGCAATTTCAACATCTCCATTAGATCTTTTTTTAAAAAAAGGTTCTGTGGACTGGATCGGAGCAGAATTTTTATAGCTCATTAACCAAGTTTCAGGAATAAGTTTAGGCAATTCAAAACGAGAAATTTTTCTAGGCACATATGTACAACTAGGTACATGATCTGACTCTACATGAAGTAGTAAAGCATTCTTTGTTCCCTAGGACTGTGCAAAATCAAGGGAAGCGAGTATCAACCAAGGTAATACTTGAAATTGTAGGGAGACCTTTTCTTCCCTAAAGGGTTAAAGTGATAGCACCAAAGTGAAGATGAGTATAGCCTTTAGATGATCATACTCTAGGAAGATGAGAGGGTAATTCTAGTGTAAGAAATTGTTCTTTTTCTGTAACTAGCAGAAGATGTTGATCAAACTTTATGGCTTAAACAAATTCTTTAGCTTGAGATTTTTTAGGAGAGATAATGCTATGGACATTTTTAGACTGACGAATGTTTAATATATGGGATGTATGAATTTACAAGACGATGAACTGTGAGTGAGATTTTATTAGACTAAAAAAGATAGGATATTTGATAGAGATATTCCATCTTAGAGGCATTAGATTTTCTAATAGAAGAGGAAGAAGAAGAGGAAACTGAAGAGGATTTAGACAAAGGGAAATTATTAGAATTTTCCGATGAAGACATGATTGAGAAGACATTCTTTCTTAGTTTTTTCAGTACTTGATAACATAAATTTTCCTGATCAAGTAAGATAACAAACATAGCTCTGATACCATACAAGCAGAAAACAGATTCTACAGCAAATCTTAGTATTCTAGCCTACATAGACCTCATGTCAATTAAAAGGTCTCATCATTCATCCAACACAAAATGAATTTTAGCTTAGAGTATTTAAATATAAATTACACAAAAAGTATTAAAATAATATCACCTGAATGAAGGAACATAAGGAAGAACTTGAAACTTCAATTTCTTGGCTTCATGCTTTAATTATTGAATCTCTTCTTTACTTCTTGCTAGACTTCTTCAATGCTAAATAATTGTTCTCCACGTTCTGCACGTTTTTTGGGTTATAAAGGGTGCAAAAGATCACGTACCAAAACATACTGAATCAAGAAAAAGATACAAATTTTCTTTCCTCGGATTTCTTCAAGGCACTCACCTAGTTATAGGTGAGGTATGCATCTAGAAAGGTGAATTTGGCCTCAGGTGGTCCAGGGAAGAGCTCAAGCATGCGCCTGAAATTTGTACTGGGTGCGCCTAGTTATATCTCGAGAGCTATCAGTATTTTTGTCATAATTTTCTCTCATGATAACCAATTGAGACGATTCAAAGTGCGTTGAAAAGCTAACTAAAAAATATACAATTCTTCTTATCATTTTTACAATTCGAACGTTTACTATGCTAAAAATGGGTTCCAATCTAAGGCTGAAGACTTGGAGCGTAACTTTTTCAATTGTAAATTAATGTGTGATTATACTTTGACTATATTTCACTACTTTGACTTCTTTTCTCATCCAATTGACCCTTATCGTATCTTGAATCTTCATCTTGAGGTTCAACACAATTTTTGAATATTTGCACTTTAGTCCACTTTGGATCTTTTACAATTTAGCCCCCTTTTTACATTTTTCCTCCAATTTCGCCATTTATGTCTATTTGTACCTAACAAACACAATATAAATAGAATTGAGGCATAATTCATCAAAATAACCAATAAATACTCAAATTTAAAGGCCAAAAATAAGTGTACAAAATACACTTAGCTTGTAGCATGTTTAGAAGACAAAAAAATACATCTTATATATTTTTATGAGTTCCCCCTTTTTAACTATGATTTGATACAATGTTTACGATTTAAGTTAAATTTTTTATCTCTTATTCAAGAATCAGAGACCTACTTATACACATGGATGCACCTTTAACGTGTCCTCACTCTTCGAAGTTGTAATGAACTTGATCTGTATGCAAAGACATGCAATATTGTTACACATAATAAATGACATAAATTAGATTCATGCATGGTTTTGAACCAATCTCTATAAGATATAACATGAAAAGAACACTAGAATCAAGTATTTGTTCATGCAAACGAGATTTCACAGTTAAATTCAATTCAGCAGAGTCATCAACAAATTTAAATGAATCGGTTCTTTTTACAAAAACATAGCATTGATTACTTTTTGCCCTATAATTAGATACCATTACCCTTTTTAACCATCATTACTGTTGGGGATTGAACCAATATATCAAAGAAGCAGCGGAAACAATTAATTTAACCCCTCAATGCACAAGAATTAAAATGGCAGCTATAATAGGCAAATCCAACAAACTCACACACATTAGCAGGAATATAAATTGAACACCGAAATTTGTTAACGAGGAAAACCCTGCGAAGGGAAAAACTCTGGGACCTAGTCCAGTAAAAGAGTCATCCACTATAAAAATAATGGGATACACAATAATCTTCTCTAAAGCCAACTCCAAAGGATATCACTACATCAAGAACACTTTTAGTCCTTGGATATCAACAACATCATAAAGATAAATGCACAAAATAACAAGAAAAATCTCACAGAGGAGTGTGCAAAGCCCAGACAAACGAAGGGGAGTCTGAATGATCGCATCCAGTAAAAAACGTAGCTCTCTTCGCCAGGAACAACATACTGAAATATTGGTTAAATCAAACCACAAATGAGGCCTTGATCATTGGCGAGAATAGATTGAATCCCTAGCTTTCTCTCTCTCGTTGCTCTTTGTTCGTCTATTGTATGTGTATGTAAATTATAATGAATGTTTGGTCTCCAACTTGCTATATACAGGTTATGGGCCCAAGGAAGAACAAGCACACTTACCATTAGAATGGCCTCCCTCATGTGGAGGGAATACCCAACAAATCTCCCCCTCTCGATTACTTAAGGGACTCCACCAAACTTGCTTTCCTTCTACATACTTGTAGCTTCTCCATAAGCAATGATTTTGTCATCATATCTGAACCATTCTCATTAGTATAGATTTTATCAAGTTGTAACTTCTTCATCCCCAAAGCCTCTCGAATCCAATGATACCTTACTTCAATATGTTTGGATCTTGAGTGAAAGGTTGGATTTTTACTTAGATGGATATCACTCTGACTGTCACAGTAAAGTATATCTTCTCTTGCTCTAAACCAAGTTCTTGTAAGAACTTCTTCATCCATGGCAGTTCCATGCTAGCTTCAGTGATGGCTATGTACTCAGCCTCTGTGGTAGATAATACAACACATTTCTGCAGTTTTCATTGCATGAAACTGCTCTCCCTAAAAAGATGATCAAATACCCAGAAGTAGAATTTCTAAAGTCAACATCACCGGCCATATCTGCATCTGTGAACCCAACAAGCTCGGGTTTGCTGGTGCCAAAGGATAAACATGTCTTAGAAGTCCCTTTGAGATACCTGAGTATCAAGTTCACTGCTGCCCAGTGTTCTTTTCCAGGTTTGGAAAGAAATCTGCTAACAAATCCAACATAATGCAATATCTGGCCTTGTGCAAACCATAGCATAATCAAGCTACCAACGGCTGATGCATAAGGCACATC